GTACTCTGCAGAGTGGGATAAGCAGTACTCCAGGTCATCAAATCTCTAGCTGATATAAATATTCAAACTCCTCTGCTAAGATCCAGCAGTCCCTTCAACCAGCCAAGATGGCTTCCCTGTGCAGCCACTTGCTGTCAGGATTGGCCTTGGTGTAATGTAGGGCTCCCTCAGGTTCTGAACAGAGGTGGGTTGCGTGATTGTGACTGATGCAGGGAAACGACAGACTTTCAGATATAGTGATAAACAATACAATTTATTAACTACTAACCATTCAAACATAAGCCAGTGCAAGACTAAACATTAATACACAGTGACAAACAAAAACCAACCAAAACAGATAAACAGATAACAGTAACCATACCAACGCATGCGTCTGTAGGCACTGAATCGGTATAAAAAAAAAAAATAAGACGCATGCAGAAATGGATTAAGATAGACGGGTAGCAAGAAGAGAAGGGTAAACAGATTGCCAAAGGAAACAAAAATACAGCATGTAAATGAATATCAACAATAGTGCAGTAGCAGAGTAATCAACTGAGTAGATAGCGTATAGTCATAAGCAGAAATCCTGAATTCAGGTAAATTTATTGATCACGAGTTAATTACTAGAGGGGGTTAGGCAAAACACAGGAACCAGAAACAGGATGCAGGGACAGATACAGGGCCCAGGACAACAACATACACATCAAGGTTAGGGCAGAGTCTGTGGGTCTGAAAACATCCTAATTAATATACCCCAGCCATATAGTCAGTTCAAGGTGTTAGTGGCTGAAAGCGTTGAACTACCATGATTGCTGGGAGCATGCCCGCTGGCACAGCCCATGGTAAAACAAAACAAAAATCAAATAGGCAGGTTAGTCCTACCATTGCTGACACAAAGATCCATTACGGACACTATATTCCCAAAGAAAAAAATGAGCACTGGAAACCATAAAATCAAAATTGCCTTTAAGTGTCAGTTGTAATCCATATTCCCCAAAGATAAAACATATCTGGGGTATCCCAGAATATATTAAAAATAAATAATGGGCATATTAATTATGCCTTAGAGATATTTTCAGATTATTCGGTAAATATAGATATAAGTTCGACGGTTTATAATTCGCTTCGCACCCAACGTCTAATGACCTCTTAATAATTTTATGCCATTGCTGCCATGGCAGTAATAATATACGCTGATTTTACCCGGAGCGTCAATCAGAAATATGGAAATAAATATATAATGCGTCGTACACGCCACATTTAAAACAAATACGGGGGGGACTTAAAACCATTGGCCATGATTTAAAAAGATATGATAATAATAATGCTAACAAGTCCCGCTATATATACCACGCTCGCCAAAGAAAACAATTGATAAAATCCGTCCCAAAAATAAGATAACATAAAGGCAAACAAAAAAAAAATAAAAATAACAGAATGGCCTTTTAATTGAAACAGAATTACGCGCAAGCCAAATATGCATGGAAAAGATGGGAAGATTTCATCTAAGAAAAAAAATAAGGAAATATCAGCGGGGTAAGGGCAACTAAAGCTCCTAAAACTGCAAAAAAAAGTTAGATACTTATGCACAAAACATAAAGCAGTCGAAAAAAGTATCAACTATTGGACAGGAAATGTCCGCACATACTAAATTGAGATCAAAGATCCCTCCGAAATGGGGAAATCTAACCGCAATCACAACGATCAGGGACTTCCAAGATCGAACACAGAAGCCATAAAAACTCTTGAAAATTTACAGTCTTCCACAAAAAAGCTGGCTGGTCGCAAGTAGTTAACCTAGGCTGGGTAAGCAAAAATCTCAAATTGAAGCTGCTTCCGCTCCGCACACTCTGCCAATTGGAATCTGATTGTACTTCTCCCCACGCTTGCTGAACTGGGTGTCGGAATTTTTAGAACATAGGCTCTGGTCAATGGCCGAAAATTTAATATGAAGATGCGTACGCTCACCCAGACTCTAGGCCATGGGCCCTATTGGGTATCACATGAAGAGAAGCTGCTCAGCAGGGGTTCAGGGCAATAATAAGAGCTCCCGGTTCGCAGGTTGAAATTCCGTCTTATGGATGGAAGTACGACGGTATAAAGATGATACTTCTATCCGCACCCACTCGGCTGGGTTACCTACATAAAATTTTCTGCATTGCATATGCAATCACAACGCTGAGTTCCCGGATCGCCACTCTGCCATGGGGACACTTGTTTAGTCGTCTCCCCACATGCTGCTGGGGGGACTTTTTAACCTAGGCCTATGTGTTAATGAGGCCTATCAATTGAACTGCTTTCCGCTCTTCCGCTCCACAACTCTGCCATTGCGACTCTTGTTAGTCGTCTCCCCAAACGATGCTGCTGGGGGGACTTTTTAACATAGGCCTCTGGTATGGCCTTCTTTAATTGAAGCTGCTTACGCTCCGCCAAAACTCTGCCATGGGACAGAAACTTGGGATATCCCAGAAGCTGAAAAACCAGCGCGGTCAGGGCAATAAAGCTCGACCGGTTATTGCAAGTTGTTCCGTTATGGATGGAAGTACGACGGTATTATGATCTTTCTTTCGCACCCACGGCAATTCACAATTAGAATCTCTGCATTGCATCTGCAATCACAACGCTGACTTCCCGGATCGCCACTCAGCATGGACTCTTGATAATCGTCTCCCCACACTGCTGCTGGGGGGACTTTTTAACCTAGGCCTGTGTATGGCCTTCACTAATTGAAGCTGCTTCCGCTCCGCCACTCTGCCATTGGACTCTTGTTAGTCGTCTCCCCACGCTGCTGCTGGGGGGACTTTTTAACATAGGCCTCTGTATGGCCTTAATTGAAGCTGCTTACGCTCCGCCACTCTGCCATGGGCCTCTTGGGTATCCCAGAAGAAGCTGCTCAGCGGGTCAGGGCAATAAAGCTCCCCGGTTCGCAGGTTGTTCCGTCTTATGGATGGAAGTACGACGGTATATGATCTTCTTCGCACCCACGTGTGGCATTACTTCGCTTAGAATTTCTGCATTGCATCTGCAAATCACAACGCTGACATTCCCTGGGATCGCACTCACTCAGCAATGGAGACTCTTGATAGTCGTCTCCCCACTCTGCTGCTGGGGGGACTTTTTAACCTAGGCCTGTGTATGGCCTTCAATTGAAGCTGCTTCCGCTCCGCCACTCTGCCATTGGACTTCTTGATAGTCATCTCCCCACGCTGCTGCTGGGGGGTCTTTTTAACCTAGGCCTGTGTATGGGGCCTTCAATTGAAGCTGCTTCTGCTCCGCCACTCTGCCATTGGACTCTTGATAGTCGTCTCCCCACACTGCTGCTGGGGGGGACTTTTTTATTCATAGGCCTCTGTATGGCCTTCAATTTTAGCTGCTTACGCTTCGCCACTCTGCCATGGGCCCCTGTACCGCCCTCCTCTTGCTGCTGCCAGGTCCAGAGTGTGTCATGGGTCACCTGTACGGCCTCCCATTGCTGCTGACTTTTCATCGCCGAAATGACTCTGCCATGTGCCACTTTCAGGTCTCCTGTACACTGTTGGTGGGTTCCATTTTTGTGATAGGGTGCTGTATGGCCTTCCAATTGACAAGCTGCTGCCTCCACCGCCACCCTGCGCCATGTGCCTCTGATCCGTAGTCCTCTGACGCTGCTGAGCTCGGCTTCCGCTTTTTACCCGATACGGCCTGTGTTTGGCTTTCCCCCCCCCCGAGAATTAGAATAATCTACAACAAAACAACAAAAGAATATTTAAGACTAAAAATCCTTTGCTGCATCCACCATCGCCACCCTGCTACCATGTGTCTCAGTCGTCTGCTCACGCTGCTGACGGGCTCTTCCAGCTTTTTAACCCTAGGCCTGTGTATGGCTTCAGAATAATGCTGCCTACACCGCCACCCCTGCGCCATGTGCCTCTGTCGTTCTGCTCAAGCTGCTGCACGAAGGTCCATACTGATGTCATGGCCCCTGTAAAAACAGCTCTTCATGAACGTGGTTTCAGCGGGTTTGCATCACTTAACGGCAAATCGTTGTACAAACGCAATTGGGACGTTCAGTAGTTGTGCGCATTAAGCCAGACACCAAAGGGCAAGCACAGACCTGTTATTACTCGCTCAAGCATGGCTGAACAAAAACCAGTCTCTACCACAGCAATAGTGGACCCAGACCTGCCCAGGGTCTCTAGTGAGTAGATTGCACGGAGGAGTAGAGTTCAGGTTATGGTGGAATTAACTGTGAGGGACTTTTAAAACACTAGGCCTGGTGTTATGGCCTTCAATATTGAAGCTGCTTCTGCTCCGCCACTCTGCCATTGGGACTCTTGATAGTCGTCTCACACACGCTGGCTGCTGGGGGGACTTTTTTTTTTTTTAACATAGGCCTCTGTATGGCCTTCAATTTTAGCTGCTTACGCTCCGCCGAAAACACTCTGCCATGGGCCCCTGTAACACGCCTCCTCTGCATGCTGCTGTCCAGGCCCGTAATCTGCCAATGGGCCCCGTACGTACACGACTCCTCATGCTGCTGTCAAGCATTCGCCAGTAATCTTGGTACATGGGCCCCTCTGTACCCATCCTCATGCGGCTTGCCAGGTCCAGAGTGTGTAATGGGTCCCTGTTACGGCAAAAAGCCCATTGCTGCTGTCTCCATCGCCACACTCTGACATGTGCCACTTTCAGGTCTCCTCACATGAACACTGAGTGGGTTTTTCCAATTTTGTCATAGGGTGCTCACCATGGCCGTAAACCCAAACCCATTGCTGCTGCCTTCACCGACAACACTGTGGACTAAAACCACACTACTGGTTTTGGCCCCGTGACTGCCCAAATGAGTGAAAGTGTGCGGTGATTCTAAGATCGACGGCACTCATCTGCATGTCATACTTGACTAAGCAGAAGTATTATTTCTCTTCCCAGCAGACCTACAAGGGCAATTTAAATTAATAGGTACAGTGTTCTACGCATTAATATAAAGGCATCTCTCTGGAGCCTAGAAACACAACCTTTTTACCCAAGTTAAATTTTGCAGCGAATATATTACGGCTCGAAGCGAATTTATTCTCGCGAATTCGGCGAATCAGCTACTTCAGCTGAACCGAATTTTGAGAATAATTCGCTCATCTCTAGTCTACGTCCACATAGGCCATGCCCAATGCCGTTTTGTCACTTGTCGTCTTCAACAGGGCGGAGGACGTGGATCTCAGACGTCTACTCATACAATTATATACCCATTCTGCATTCGAGATCAGAACTGCAGTCGATCAGCCCACATACTGAGAAACCAAACCTGCCAGCTCAATCTCTGCAGCATAAAACGAAATAGGAAATATGTGGCAAAGCATTACATACAAACAACAAATTAGTTTTTGGCATAATCAAATGGTCATATGAACAATAACATATAAAATACACAAGTGGTCCTATGGAAACATAGGTGGGTATTAAAACATTATACAGTCAATGGCCGAAATTTTTGTTGGAACCATACCTTGATATTTTTCCTGAAAATCTCAAGTATTTTCACACAAAAAAGGTATTGCATTAACACATGTTTTGCTATACACATGTACTTATTCCCTTTGTCATGTATTGGAACCAAATATAAAACAGAGGCAGAAAAAAGCAAATATGACATAATGTCACACACAAAACCCCAAAAATGGGCTGGACAAAAGTATTGGCACCCTTAACTTAATATTTGGTTTGCGACACCCTTTGGAAAACATAACTGAAATCAGTCGCTTCCTATAACCATCAATAAGCTTCTGACACCTCTCACCGGAATTTTGGACCACTCTTCCCCTTTGCAAACAGCTCCAGGTCTCTCTCTCTTATTGGAAGGACACCTTTTCAACCAACAGCAATTTTAAGATCTCTCCACAGGTGTTCAATGGGATTTAGATCTGGGCTCATTGCTGGCCACTTCAGAAACTCTCCAGCGCTTCTTTGCCATCCATTTCTGAGTGCTTTTTGACGTATTATGTTTGGGGTCATTGTCCTGCTGGAAGACCCAGGATCTTGGAACGCAACCCAGCAGCTTTCTGACACTGGGCCCTCACAGTGCGACCCAAAATCCTTTGGTAATCCTCAGAGTTTTCATGATGCCTTGCACACAGTCAAGGCACCCAGTGCCAGAGGCAGCAAAAAAACAACACCCCAAAAACATCATTGAACCTCCACCATATTTTACCGTAGGTACGGTGTGTGTTTTGTTCTTTTGTAGGCCTCATTCCGTTTTTCGGTAAACAGTAGAATGATGTGCTTTACCGAAAAGCTCTATCTTGGTCCTCATCTGTCCACAAGACGTTTTCCCAGAAGGCTTTTGGCTTACTCAAGTACATTTTGGCAAACTGTAGTCTTGCTTTTTTTTATGTCTCTGTGTCAGCAGTGGGGTCCTCCTGGGTCTCCTGCCATAGCGTTTCATTTCATTTAAATGTCGACGGATAGTTCGCGCTGACACTGATGCTCCCTGATAGCCTGCAGGACAGCTTGAATGTCTTTGGAACATGTTTGGGGCTGCTTATCCACCATCCGGACTATTCTGCGTTGCAATCTTTCATCAATTTTCCTCATCCGTCCACGACCAGGGAGATTAGCTACTACAGTGCCATGGGTTGCAAACTTCTTGATAATGTTGCGTCACTGTGGACAAAGGCAAATCTAGTTCTCTGGAGATGGACTTGTAAACCTTGAGATTGTTGATATTTTGCCACAATTTTGGTTCTAGGTCCTCAGACAGTTCTCAGTCTGTCCTCTTTCTGTTGTCCATGCTTAGTGTGGCACAGACAGACACACAAATGCAAAGGTTAAGTGAACGTCTCTCCTTTTTATCTGCTTTCAGGTGTGAGATTTATCTATATTGCCACACCTGTTACTTGCCCCAGGTGAGATTTAGCAGGAGCATCACATCGACTGCTTGCTCCCCCCTAACATTCATTATTTATCCGCAGTTGTGAAGGGTGCCAATACTTTTGTCCAGCCCATTTTTGGAGGTTTGGATGTGACATTATGTCGAATTTGTCTTTCTTTCCTCCCTTTTTTTGTTTTGACCGAGATCAGCTGCCGATCAATACACACCAAAAGGGCAAATAAACATGTGTAATAGCAACAAATAATGTGTTTAATAGGCAAACGTCAAATCGTGAGAAAATACATGATTTTCAGGAAAAATATCAAGGGTGCCAACATAATTTCGGCCTATGACTGTATAGCTTAGAGGGGGTAGTGACAATATACATAATTCATCAAACCTACATCATAGAGATAATAATAACAAAACATAAAATAGAAACCTACCACCAATCAAAGACGAACAATAAAGATGATATAAAAAGTTTTATATTATGGGGATAATAACTCATAATCTGCTCATTTAGAGGGCCAAACATTGGAATGGTGCCCCATCCACAAATCTAATCATTCGTAATCAAACCTCAAAAAGGTATAAGGAAGACGGAGTGCGCATGCGCGGCCGGCGGGACGGACATGTCCTGAAGAGGCTCCGTCTCCCCGTCGGGTGACAGCGCTGAAAAGCAGCGGGTCCCGGCCCGCAACCCAGCCCAGGGGGACCCGCTCGGCACGGCAACCTTCCCAAGGTCTGATCCGCCCTGCTCAACGGCGGATCAGATGCCGCAAGTCGGAGAAATCCAGCAGGGGACTCCGTCCCCATAGTGAGTCACCCGCAGGCCGCCCACAAAAGTGCCGGGAAGCAGCGGGTCCTAGCCCGCAATCCGCCCAGGGGGACTCGACCTGCAAGGCAACCTTACCAGGGTCTGATCTGCCCTGCTCATTGGCGGATCAGCTGCAGCAAGTCGGAGAAATCCGACGGGACTCCATCCCCATAGTGTGCTACATATAGGCCCGCCCACGAAAGCCAGCACATCTCTGAGGCTGCAGAGAGAACAGGGGGGCTGAGACCTGAATAACAGCCCCCCCTCATTGACAAGCAGCAAAATGGTTAAAGGGGCACCCCGGCACCAGGTCCCCCTCAAACTAAAACAATTAAGGAGGCCCTGGCGAAGGCCTCCACAAAGATGGCCGCCACCCCAGCTCATGGAGGCAAGCAAGCTGCAGGGAGATACGCAGCCCTGCAAGACCCGCAGCCCAGCCATCCCTGCACATCTGAGGGTAAGTCTGACACTGGAACAGATGTCTCTGCACAAGCCCTGACGCCTGACCTCACGCCCCTTGACCTACTATCACGCTTCGAAAAAATGCTACACAAAAGCTTTGAAGCAAACCTCGGACCGCATCACTGCCACACTATCTAGGGAAATCCGTGAATTAGGACAGCGCACTGCGGACCTAGAACAGAGAGTGGACGGTCTTGATGCTTCGCTTCAGACACATACTGAAGACCTTGACCTATTGCGTGACGAACACGCAACGTTGCTGACACGACTGGAGGATTTTGAGAACCGAGCAAGGCGTTCAAACCTACGCATCCGCGGCCTTCCGGAAACCATCGTCGACGTTTAATCAACGATAACAGCTCTGTTCCAAGAGCTCGCCCCAGCTATCCCAATCGAAAGATTGGAATTGGATAGAGTTCACAGGGCGATAGCACCACGACGTTCAGATGGCCCGCCACGTGACATCATAGCCAAGCTCCACTTTTTCCGTACTAAGGAGCAACTTCTACAAGCTGCCCGTAACGCAGAATCTTTACAATTCCAGGGACATAATTACCAATTGTTCCAAGATTTATGCCCCACAACTATCTCCAAGCGCAGGGCTATGAAACCCCACCTACAAGTACTTCAACAACACGCCATACCGTATAGGTGGAGCTTCCCCTTTGCTGTGCGATTCCGCCACCAAACCCGGGATTACACCTGCAAGACTCCTGAAGACTTACTAGATACCTTGTGGATTCTACAACTACTCTCCCCAGCGACGCCTCCAGAGAGCGCTAAGCGGAGGTCCACATCCTGTTCGCCACGGAAGTCTTGCCCCACACGTGCATCTGAAGGTCAACTCAGCCTCCACAAAAGAGGGAGTTTTTCGTCACCGGGCCTCCCCTCACAAGACACTATGGACTGAAATATGTCCCACGCTTTCTCTTTTTGTTCTACACGCCAAGCGGTATACTCTCTTATCAATGCGGCTGATGCCCTTGATGCCATCTCTCCCTTTGCCTGTTGGATTTTGGTTGCCACTTAATCTCGAGATTATCCTGGCCTTCCCTCTCTGGGCCCTATTTTGGTTTGCATTCGGGTGCCTGGGCGTTGACGGCGTGCGCTGTTGTACCTCCATGCCCGAGGGGTGGCAACAACGCTGCTGAAGCTGTCTCAGCCTAGGGCATCCTGATTTCCTCGGATGTTTTTTGTGCTTGTTTTTTCTACCGGGACCCCACCACCATTTATTTACCTTATAGCTGTCATCCTTACGGTCCACGTACCTGCTCACTCCACACTAGCCCCTGTGTTATTGGCTATTTTATAACACTTGGGCTACTATTGCTCCCTTACCCACCCTGACTCAGGGTGTTCTTGGGAACACGCCTTTTAGGCCTTAACTGGCCTCCTACACCCCTTTCTCCATGTTACCCTTCCCATACCGTAACCCCCCTCCCTCCCCCCAACATGACTCCATGACTTTGCGCAACATTCTCCGCAATGCTCTCATCTCCCACAGTAATCGTCAGGCTCCATCCCAGCTGGTGATGCCACGCTACTCAAGCCACTACGCACTCTCACCATGGGCTCGCTAACTATCCTCACCCTGAATGTACAGGGCCTTAATGTCCCACAGAAGCGTAATAAGGCTTTCCGAACCTTTGCTATGCTTAAAGCTCACGTCGTCTGTCTACAGGAAACACACTACACCCCCAACTCTACCCCCAAATTTTTCGGTCCCCGTTATCCTCAGGTCTACACAGCCTCGGCAACCACCAAACGCAGGGGGGTACTGATAGCCTTTCATCGCACAACACCTTTCACGCTGCACACCGAAATCAAAGACCCGGAGGGTC